CCGTAGGCTTGGTGCGAGGGGCAGGAACAGGCCGGGCCGGGCTGGCGACGCGCACCGTAGGCTTGGTGCGAGGGGCAGGAACAGGCCGGGCCGGGCTGGCGACGCGCACCGTAGGCTTGGTGCGGGGAGCAGGAACAGGCCGGGCCGGGCTGGCGACGCGCACCATTAGCTTGGTGCGGGGAGCAGGAACAGGCCGGGCCGGGCTGGCAACGCGCACCATTAGCTTGGTGCGGGGAGCAGGAACAGGCCGGGCCGGGCTGGCGACGTGCACCATTAGCTTGGTGCGGGGAGCAGGAACAGGCCGGGCCGGGCTGGCGACACGCACCGTAGGCTTGGTGCGGGGAGCAGGAACAGGCCGGGCCGGGCTGGCGACGCGCACCATTAGCTTGGTGCGGGGAGCAGGAACAGGCCGGGCCGGGCTGGCGACGTGCACCGTAGGCTTGGTGCGAGGGGCAGGAACAGGCCGGGCTGGGCTGGCGACGCGCACCGTAGGCTTGGTGCGAGGGACAGGAACAGGCCGGACCGTACTGGGAACACACACCACTGGCCTTAAACGGGGATCAGGAACGGGCCGGACCGGACTGGCAATACACCTCAGTACCTCTCGCCGTGCCTCTACATCTTCCTTCCCTTTTCTCACCAATGGCTCCCGTAACCCGGTGGCCTTCTCTCCTCGTCCACGAACTCGCCCCTTCTCTGCCTCCAGCAGCCCCGTCGTCCATGCCATGTGCCCCCCCCTAAAAATGTTTTGGGGGTGCCTCTCGCCTGTCTGACCACGGCCCGGTTGGCGCTGCTTCTCCTCTCCTGCCTGGGTCTCCCCCTTCATAGCCCTCCGGCAACGGACGGCCTCCTCCTCCGTAATCTGCCCCCAACCGAGGAGGACATCTACTAATGTTACCTCCTGCGTGTGTTCCTGGACACGCTGCTTGGTCCTGGTGTGGTGGGATCTTCTGTCACGATCGTCGAAGGAGGAGGACCAAGGCGCAGCGTGAAATGCAAACATACTTATTTTATTAAGTATCACCCGAACAACAAAACAACAAACGATAACGTGATGTCCTAGGTCTAACACAACCAACACGGAACAAGATACCACACCAAATGAATGCCTAACGGCTACTTAAGTATGGCTCCCAATCAGAGACAACGAGCTACAGCCGTCTCTGATTGGGAGCCACCCTGGCCAACATAGAAATACAACAACTAGAACAAACACAAATGAAAACTCACACCCTGGCTCAACATACTAGAGTCCCCAGAGCCAGGGCGTGACATCTCAGGGCAGTGAAGGGGACATTACCCTGTAAAGGGTGCTGCCTTTCGGATGGGACATTAAACAAGTGTCCTGACACTCTGTGGTCATTAAAGATCCCATGGCACTTATCAAAAGTGCTATATAAATATATTATTAATAATGAAAGGTGAATGAGGCTTGTCTGTAGGCCTCAGTTTTGACTGTGTGTGAGTGTAAGGGAGGGAGTCGGTCACTGTGCGCTTTTACATGATCAGTAATTTTGCTTGATACCTGAAGACTTGGTTTATTACTCAGAGCTAGACTTTAGCTCAGTGGGCTAACACAGTATTGTGGAGGGCTGGGGCAGACATTGTCATGTAAACACAATAAACACCCAATATGAACAACTTCTCACAAGAACAGATACCAGGCGGAAGTGTAGAGGGCAGCACTGCAGAGAGAGAGGGAAAGAGAGAAAGAAAGAGAGGGAGATATGGAGAGAGAGAGAGAGATCTACGTAACAGTGAGGTTCAGATCTGATCAAGGCGAGATTAATCAAGCCGTAAAGCTCGATTACTGGCTGAAAATAGCAGCAGCTTATTTTAATGAGATTGCTATGCAGCAGTGTGCACTGCGCAGCTTGGAGCTGCCCAACACACACACACACACACACACACACACACTGACACATGCACGCGCACACACAACCACACGTACATGCACGCACACACACTATCTCTCTCTGATGCTTTCTGATTCATCTTAAAGGGATAAATAACTGATTCAATCATTCGATTATCACATCTTGACCAAGAAAGTATGTTCCAGAGTGGAGACTTATCAAAGAAGATACCCAGCTAGCACATAAAGTACTGAGAACCATGTGTGTCTTAGAGCTTGGTGAGAGCGTGGTTGTCCTATGGTTATTTTGCATACAACCTTCCCACAACGTTCTGGGAATGGTGCAGGATAGTTGCTTGGCTTTGGAACATTCTCAGCACATTTAAGGAACTTGACAAAATAACATTATTGTCTTGGTATTTCATTACTTTTACAGAACGTTTCCTAAAAGTTCAAACATGGTTACATTTCATTTCAATTTTGGTAATGTTCTAGGAACGTTCTCAAACTGGTTTGACATTGGGAATGTTCTCACATTGTTCTGAGAACATTAAGAAACAACGTTCTTTGTGAATTTCAGTACTTCAGCATAACGTTTCCTACAAGTTTCGTCAAATTGTTCTGAGAACGTTAAGAAAACATTCCATAAAAAAACAAGAAAACTTTAGTAACGTTCAGAGAATGTTCTAAGAATGTTATTTAAAAACATATTAATTCCGTTCTCAGCATCAATAACACTCTATCTTATTAAGTGTGTTCAGGTGTGTTCGCCGCACCCACTAATTGGCCACACCTGATCTTAATGAGTGTTTGTTTCCTTTGAAATGGGGTCTGTTTGAATAGATTAAAATTAACAGCTTTGTATGAGTTTAAAGAAACAGGACATGCTAGCCCCATCCTTGTGGCGCAGTGGACTAATTCCATGGATAGAGGACAGCAGATCCTGAGTTCAAATCTCACCGATGCTGTGCCACAATAAAAAAAGTAATGTGTTTGCATGATTAATGGCTAAGCAAATTAATTTCCATGTGTCCTATCTGTGCTTGGAGTTCAAAAAAGTTAACCTATGTTAGCTGTGTTATTAAAAGTCTTGTTGGAACATGTTCTCAGGACATTATTTAATTACCTTCAAATAACCTATAATTTCCGTTCTCAGAACATTAATGAAAACTTTCAGGGAACCATAGTAAAACGTTCTCAGAACCTCCCTGCAACCTAAAAATGAACGTTTCCAGAACAGGCAACATTTTCACTTCAGTTCTCAGAACGTTTAAAAAACGTTACGTTTTACCATCAGGAAACGTATGGCTTCATTCCCAGAACCAATTGGAAACTTTCAAGGAACCAAATGTGCTAGCTGAGTCAACATTGGCCTCTTATCTTGCCTTTTTCTTGGGTTTAAATGAGTTTAATAAACCCATTCATCATAACTGAATACCTCACAGAAGCCTTGACTGACTAGATTTTTAAATGCAGGGAGTACTGAATGTATAAAATACATCTAGTTTGAATTCTGTCCATTATTTGCCTGCATGTGCAACTCCACCCATTAATTTCTCGACATCCTTATTTGGGCTGAGAACGTCTTGAACGCATGTGCCATTTCATTGAAAAGGCGTGAGATGGATACCTACACATATCCAATTAAACGCCATTCATCTGTGGAAAGGGGCGAGGCAGCAGAGGGAAACCCTTGCAGTCTGTGGGTGGGAGTTGGTGGAGGGGGCGGGGTTAGAAGCCGGAAGTGTCTCCCGACTGGCCCAGCTGTCATCGACTAGAAGAGACCATTCGCACCGGCTGACTTAGATATGCAGAAAATTGAAAAAAGCAAAAATATGTCAACATCTAGCAACCATAAGGACATGACGACAATTTAGAGGTACATAATGCACGATATAGATTCAGTTTCAGAAATGTAATGTCGTACCAGAGAATTGCACTCAGGTTTATACCCGTAATTGGGAATTGCAAAAAAAATGACGACAACGATTGGTGCTATGCTATGACATTGAACACACAGGACACGAAACCGACGAGGTCGTTTAAAGATACACACACCATTTAATACCAATATCACTGCAGATCCAGCCCGTGTATCGCTGTCGGTGAATTTTCGGATACATTGTTTAATTTGTCATCGACATTGTTGCCTATCTGCGTCGATTGCTCGTTAGTTCGGCTACAATGTATCTACTCTAGTAGCTTGTCGGCTATTACCCTAGCGGCTTTTATACGGGGAACTAGGCTACCCTAGATCCAGCACAGAAAAGAGACGTCACCAGCATTTTCTTATTTAAATGGTCACGACGGAGGAGGTCATTGCAGAAAAAAAATCTAGATATTCGGTAGGTGTTGGTGTGTTTACCGTCATTATAACGCGCGGGCATAGACACATATAGACCGCATATAGACCAACGCTGATAATCGCAATGTATTTGATTGACAGGGCACATGGAGCCCAATGCAGCAGCTGTTAGCTTGCTAGCCACATAACGACCTTTGGGAAGAGAAATGTCAACTAACAGCGTAGCCAGCCTGCCTGGCTGGTGCTATGTGCTTCTACCGCAGCTAACCTACGCAGGTTCACTCAGGTGTTTTCTGTTGAGGCCTGCTAGTGCTACTGCTATGCTAAGTCTGTGTTATTTTATCATGTAGCCTTGGCCTACTGTGGCTGAGCGAGTCAATGATTTAATCTCATTGAGTTACATCACTAGCAGTCTGCAGTTGCAGCAAAGTCACTGCAGTTGGCAAGGCTGGTGTTGTTTTGGAAGGCCTGTAGGATCAAATTGTGGAATGACAGCCTTTGTATTTATGTCCCCCCCCCCCCCCTCTCCCTCCCTCGACCCTGTCTCCCCTCCCTCCCTCGACCCTGTCTCCCCTCCCTCCCTCGACCCTGTCTCCCCTCCCTCCCTCGACCCTGTCTCCCCTCCCTCCCTCGACCCTGTCTCCCCCTTTCTACCTCACCCACTCTTCCCCCTACATTACCCATCCCTCCCCCTTCTTTCTCGCTCATGTCTTCACTCCTGTCCTCTCCCTCACTCCTCTCCTTCCCCCATGTTATACAGTAGGAAATAGGCCTAGAAGACACTGAGATAAGAAGAACCAAGTTGAGGAGGAAATATCGTCTTTACCCCGGGATTCATAAATGGACGACTACGGCTTTGGAGTTCTGGTGAAGAATAACGGCAGTGGCAACAAATCTGCTTTCCCCGTGAGGATCCCCCCTCACCTCCAACCCCCAGCCCTCCCACCTCCAACCCCAGCCCTCCCACCTCAACCACCCAGCCAATCCCCCCAGCCCCCCCTCATTCATCAACAGCACCTCGGCCACCAATGGAGGAGGTAGCGCCTGGCTGTTCCCCTCCGTAGCACCCCACAGTAACATGCAGGATGAGATCCTTGACTCCGACAAGGCCAAAGCCCTGGACCTCCAGGACCTGCAGGAGAAGGCCCAGCCGCAGGCCCTCTCCCCTGGGCAGCAAGAGGCCGGAGGTGACCTAGGGGAGCTGGATGGATCCCTACCCGAGGACGGCTCCATGGAGAAGGGCTCGTTGGAGACCAGTAGTGGGAAGGAGAAGCTTAGGGGTGGGATGGACTCTCCTCCAGTGCTGGGGGGGTTTGACTACCAGGACAGCCTGGGGATGGGGACGTCTGGAGCCCAGTCCACCACCACCACCTCCTCCTTGACCTCCTTCAACAACTGGTCCCCGACCATACCTTCCAACCCCTCCCCCGTTATCGGCGAGGACGTCGGGGGTGGGTTCTTCGGCCCGGCCGGTTCCAACGCTAACGGACCCCCGATGCTGTTCCAGAACTTCTCCCACCACGCGGGGCCTGGCTTCGGAGGGGCGGGGGGCAGCTTCTCCCCCCAGATCGGCCCGGTCTCCCAGCACCACCCTCCTCCCCACCACTACCATCCCCACAACCAGGGGGTCCCCCCTCAGCACCGTCGCTCTCCAGCCTCCCCCCACCCACCCCAGCCCTCCTTCCCTCCTCACCCCCACCGCTCTGGAGCTTTCAATCAGCTTCCCCACCCGGCCCAGTCCAAGCCCCCCTCCCCTTGGGGAAGCTACCAGAGCCCTGCCCCTCCCACCTCCACCTCCTGGAGCCCTGGGGGAGGTGGGTACGGTGGCTGGGGAGGGTCACAGGGGGTTCGAGAGTACCGCAGGGGCCTCAATGGAGGGGTGACGGCCCTCAACTCCCTCTCACCACTGAAGAAGTCTTTCCCCAACAACCAGGTACTGTTCTAGCTAGATATACTGCACACTCCCATCTAACAACCTGGTACTGTACTAGCTAGATATACTGCACACTCCCATCTAACAACCTGGTACTGTACTAGCTAGATATACTGCACACTCCCATCTAACAACCTGGTACTGTACTAGCTAGATATACTGCACACTCCCATCTAACAACCTGGTACTGTACTAGCTAGATATACTGCACACTCCCATCTAACAACCTGGTACTGTACTAGCTAGATATACTGCACACTCCCATCTAACAACCTGGTACTGTACTAGCTAGATATACTGCACACTCCCATCTAACAACCTGGTACTGTACTAGCTAGATATACTGCACACTCCCATCTAACAACCTGGTATTGTTAGATGGATATGGCACAACTCATACCTGCTTAAGACCGCATGTCCCAATGGCCTCAGACTGATGAGTAGCTTAACCATATTCATATAACGGCCTACAATTAACTAGTCAATGATTTTCTTTCATTTCAATGTTTTGCCAAACTCAAATTGTGCTTGATTTAGTTGGTTATGATATAATTTATTCACGACCACAAGCTGTAATCCAGCTAATGCTGTTGTCTATTGAGCCATAATATAAACTGTCTGTCATGCACTTCAATGGTACTATCCCACATGTATTACATGGTACAGTCCTATATAATATTGCCCTATCTTCCAGGTTCCCTCTCAGAAGTATCCTCGTAATAACTCTGGGTTCAACCACAAGGCCTGGATGGAAGACAGCATGAGTCGCACTGACAACTTCCCTTTCCAGGTGAGTGAAGCGATGAGCAAACGGTAGAGGGAAAATATATTTATCCACCCTTATAGGACAATGAAAGTGGACTTGAAACATGCTTTTATATTGTTAAAACCAACACGTGTAGCCTTGTAAATGCATTTTTGATACAATTATCAGAGCCAAATGATATGTTCTGATATGCCCAATACAGTACCCATCAAAGTAAATGATGAGCAAATATGATCTAGATTCTAGTAAGTAGAGCATCTGATAACATCAATGACAATCAGGCCAACTAAATGATGAAACTCACGTGTAATTAACTATGTATTGTATTTGTAGTCTTCTAGATCTGTGAGTGTTGTGGTAAGCGTATTCCATGCCGAGGCCTAATCCGGTAATCAGTGTTCATCCAAAATAGCACCATATTCCCTATATAGTGTACTACTTTTAACCAGAGCCTGGTAGTGCACTATATAGGGAAATGGGTGCCATTTGGGACGGAAACCCCAATCTTCTTCTGTGGTTGTTAGAGATGCAGCGCGTTAAAGATGCCACAACGCCTTTATGACAAATATTGACATACTACATCCTTTTTTCTTTGAGGTACTCGCAGATCTGACATGACCTGGATTGGCTAAAGCAGTAGGGTGTAAATCTAGCTTTAGCTTTCCAGTCACACACAGATCAGTGATTTACTTCAAGGAAGGGTTTATTTGAAAAGCATTCAGTGTCTATCTACAGGGGCATGTGAGTAAAGCTGTTGATGGCTTACATCTGGAGATATCTCTGTGGAATCAGATGAATAGATTTTGGTGGTATTTTATTCGATAAGCGTCACCACAGATTGTCTCTGTGGATGTGTAACTGTTTAGAGGGTCTAAAGTACCAGGACAACACAGTTGTCATCTATTATCAAGCAAAACTGTGTCAAGGATCTAGATTAGATCCTACCACCTCTGGGTTCTAGAGTCAGAATGGTTCTGTCTTCCTGTTCTTAGAACACCGCATGCTAATCATCTTTTTCCCTGTCTGTCTGTGTGTCTCTCAGCAGGAGAGAACCCGTTCCTTTGATGGCTTCAGCATGCACTCTCTGGAGAACAGTCTGATTGATATTATGAGGGCTGAACAGGATTCATTGAAAGGTGGGTTTCTCTGTTTCACACAGTATGAAAAAACAGCCTGGGCCTGTCTTCACAAAGCGTATCAGAATAAGAGTGCTGTTCTTAAATCCTTTTTTATTTATTTTTTATGATTTTATTTTTTTGTTGAAATAATGAATATGATTATATGGACAGGGGGGGGCCTGATCCTAGATCAGCACTCCTACTCTGAGATGCTTTGTGAATATAGGCCCTGGTATTTTGGAATACTCCACAAACACAGTAATGGCATATGTTCTATGTAGAGATAGAAGATTGATGTCACATAATTCTGACCGGTTGGTAAAATGGCTTCTTAGCTCAAATCGGTGCACCTACACTGGTACCAACACAAGTGTGGTTGTCTTATCGGAGGCCGTTGTTCTATCTTGCCGATGCAGCGTAAACTCCGCCAGCTGTATGTTATCTATGTCGTCGTTCACGAAAATCTAATATTAAGGAAGTCTCAAGGTTTTGCTCGCCTGAGGTAGAGTATCTCATGATAAGCTGTAGACCACACTATTTACCAAGAGCGTTTTCATCTATATTTTTCGTAGCTGTCTATTTACCATCACAAACCGATGCTGGCACTAAGACCACACTCAATGAGCTGTATAAGGCCATAAGCAAACAGGAAAACGCTCATCCAGAGGCGGCGCTCCTAGTGGCCGGGGACTTTAATGCAGGGAAACTTAAATCCGTTTTACCTCATTTCTACCAGCATGTTAAAGGTGCAACCAGAGGGGAAAAAAAACTCTAGACCACCTTTACTCCACACTGAGACGCATACAAAGCTCTAGACCACCTTTACTCCACACTGAGACGCATACACAGCTCTAGACCACCTTTACTCCACACTGAGACGCATACACAGCTCTAGACCACCTTTACTCCACACTGAGACGCATACACAGCTCTAGACCACCTTTACTCCACACTGAGACGCATACACAGCTCTAGACCACCTTTACTCCACACTGAGACGCATACACAGCTCTAGACCACCTTTACTCCACACTGAGACGCATACACAGCTCTAGACCACCTTTACTCCACACTGAGACGCATACACAGCTCTAGACCACCTTTACTCCACACTGAGACGCATACACAGCTCTAGACCACCTTTACTCCACACTGAGACGCATACAAAGCTCTAGACCACCTTTACTCCACACTGAGACGCATACACAGCTCTAGACCACCTTTACTCCACACTGAGACGCATACAAAGCTCTAGACCACCTTTACTCCACACTGAGACGCATACAAAGCTCTAGACCACCTTTACTCCACACTGAGACGCATACAAAGCTCTCCCTCGCTCTCCATTTGGAAAATCTGACCATAACTCTATCCTCCTGATTCCTGCTTATAAGCAAAAACTAAAGCAGGAAGCACCAGTGACTCGGTTAATAAAAAATGGTCAGGTGACGCAGGTGCTAAGATACAGGACTCTTTTGCTAGCACAGACTGGAACATGTTCCGGGATTCTTCAGATAGCATTGAGGAGTACACCACATCAGTCACTGGCTTCATCAATAAGTGCATCGATGACGTCATCCCCACAATGACCGTATGTACATACCCCAACCAGAAGCCATGGATTACAGGCAACATCCGCACTGAGCTAAAGGGTAGAGCTGCCGCCTTTTAAGGAGCGGGACTCTAACCCGGACGCTTATAAGAAATCCCGCTATGCCCTCAGACGAACCATCAAACAGGCAAAGCGGCAATACAGGACTAAGATTGAATCATACTACACTGGCTCCGACGCTTGTCGGATGTGGCAGCGCTTGAACACTATTACAGACTATGAAGGGAAGCACAGCCACGAGCTGCCCAGTGACACGAGCCTACCACACAAGCTAAATCTATTCTACAGTGAGGGAAAAAAGTATTTAATCCCCTGCTGATTTTGTACGTTTGCCCACTGACAAAGACATGATCAGTCTATCATTTTAATGGTAGGTTTATTTGAACAGTGAGAGACAGAATAACAACAAAAAAATCCAGAAAAACCCATGTCAAAAATGTTATAAAATGATTTGCATTTTAATGAGGGAAATAAGTATTTGACCCCTCTGCAAAATATTACTTAGTACTTGGTGGCAAAACCCTTGTTGGCAATCACAGAGGTCAGACGTTTCTTGTAGTTGGCCACCAGGTTTGCACACATCTCAGGAGGGATTTTGTCCCACTCCTCTTTGCAGATCTTCTCCAAGTCATTAAGGTTTTGAGGCTGACGTTCGGCAACTCGAACCTTCAGCTCCCTCCACAGATTTTCTATGGGATTTAGGTCTGGAGACTGGCTAGGCCACTCCAGGACCTTAATGTGCTTCTTCTTGAGCCACTCCTTTGTTGCCTTGGCCGTGTGTTTTGGGTCATTGTCATGCCCTGGTTGAGGGAAGGAGGTTCTCACCCAAGATTTGACGGTACATGGCCCCGTCAATCGTCCCTTTGATGCGGTGAAGTTGTCCTGTCCCTTTAGCAGAAAAACACCCCCAAAACATAATGTTTCCACCTCCATGTTTGACGATGGGGATGGTGTTCTTGGGGTCATAGGCAGCATTCCTCCTCCTCCAAACACTGTTGAGTTGAGTTGATGCCAAAGAGCTCGATTTTGGTCTCCTCTGACCACAACACTTTCACCCAGTTCTCCTCTGAATCATTCAGATGTTCATTGGCAAACTTCAGACGGGCCTGTATATGTGCTTTCTTGAGCAGGGGGACCTTGCGGGCGCTGCAGGATTTCAGTCCTTCACGGCGTAGTGTGTTACCAATTGTTTTCTTGGTGACTATGGTCCCTGCTGCCTTGAGATCATTGACAAGATCCTCCCGTGTAGTTCTGGGCTGATTCCTCACCGTTCTCATGATCATTGCCACTCCACGAGGTGAGATCTTGCATGGAGCCCCGGGCCGAGGGAGATTGACAGTTCTTTTTTGTTTCTTCCATTTGCCAATAATCGCACCAACAGTTGTCACATTTACATTTTACATTTTAGTCATTTAGCAGACGCTCTTATCCAGAGCGACTTACAGTTAGCGCATACATTATTTTATCGAACCCACAACCCTGGCGTTGCAAACGCCATGCTCTACCAACTGAGCTACATCCACCTTCTCACCAAGCTGCTTGGCGATGGTCTTGTAGCGCATTCCAGCCTTGTGTAGGTCTACAATCTTGTCACTGACATCCTTGGAGAGCTCTTTGGTCTTGGCCATGGTGGAGAGTTTGGAATCTGATTGATTGCTTCTGTGGACAGGTGTCTTTTATACAGGTAACAAGCTGAGATTAGGAGCACACCCTTTAAGAGACACCTGGGAGGCAGAAATCTTTCTGATTGAGAGGGGGTCAAATACTTATTTCCCTCATTTATAATGCAAATCAATTTATAACATTTTTGACATGTGTATTTCTGTATTTTTGTTGTTGTTATTCTGTCTCTCACTGTTCAAATAAACCTACCATTAAAATGATATGTCTTTGTCAGTGGGCAAACGTACAAAATCAGCAGGGGATCTAATACTTTTTTTCCCACACTGTATGCTCGCTTCGAGGCAAGCAACACTGAAGCATGCATGAGAGCATCAGCTGTTCCGGACGACTGTGTGATCATGCTCTCCGTAGCCGATGTGAGTAAGACCTTTTATAAAGGTTAACATTAACAGACAGATTACCAGGACATGTACTCCGAGCATGCGCTGACCAACTGGCAAGTGTCTTCACTGACATTTTCAACATGTCCCTGACTGAGTCTGGAATACCAACATGTTTCAAGCAGACCACCATAGTCCCTGTGCCCAAGAACACTAAGGTAACCTGCCTAAATGACTACAGACCCGTAGCACTCACGTCTGTAGCCATGAAGTGCTTTGAAAGGCTGGTCATGGCTCACAACACCATTATTCCAGAAACCCTAGACCCACTCCAATTTACATACCGCCCCCAACAGATCCACGATTATGCAATCTCTATTGCACTACACACGGCCCTTTCCCAATTTGACAAAAGGAACACCTACGTGAGAATGCTATTCATTGACTACAGCTCAGCGTTCAACACCATACTGCCCTCAAAGCTCATCACTAAGCTAAGGACCCTGGGACTAAACACCCCCCTCTGCAACTGGATCCTGGACTTCCGGACGAGCCGTCCCCAGGTGGTAAGGGTAGGTAACAACACATCTGCCACGCTGATCCTCAACACTGGGGACCCTCAGGGGTGCGTGCTCAGTCCCCTCCTGTACTCCCTGTTCACCCATGACTGCATGGCCAGGCACAACTCCAACACCATTAACTTTGCAGATGACACAATAGTGGTAGGCCTGATCACAGACAACGATGAGACAGCCTACAGGGAGGAGGTCAGAGACCTGGCCGTGTGGTGCCAGGATAACAATCTCTCCCTCAACATAATCAAGACAAAGGAGATGATTGTGGACTACAGGAAAAGAAGGACCGAGCACGCCCCCATTCTCATCGACGGGGCTGTAGTGGAGCAGGTTGAGAGCTCCAAGTTCCTTTTTGTCCACATCACCAACAAACTATCACGGTCCAAACACACCAGGACAGTCGTGAAGAGGGCACGACAAAGCCTATTCCCCCTCAGGAGACTGAAAAGATTTGGCATGGATCCTCAGATCCTCAAAAAGTTATACAGCTGCACCATCGAGAGCATCCTGACTGGTTGCATCACTGCCTGGTATGGCAACGGCTCAGCCTCCGACCGCAAGGCACTACAGAGGGTAGTGCGTACTGCCCAGTACATCACAGGGGCCAAGCTTCCTGCCATCCAGGACCTCTATACCAGGCGGTGTCAGAGGAAGGCCCTACAAATTGTCAAAGACTCCAGCCACCCTAGTCATAGACTGTTTTCTCTGCTACCGCACGGCAAGCGATACCGGAGCGTTAAGCCTAGGTCCAAAAGGCTTCTTAACAGCTTCTACCCCTAAGCCATAAGACTCCTGAACAGCTAATCAAATGGCTACCCAGACTATTTGCATTATCCCCCCCATCCCCCGCCCCCTCTTTTACGCTGCTGCTACTCTGTTCATTATCTATAATATGCCATTTAGCAGACGCTTTTATCCAAAGAGACTTACAGTCATGCGTGCATACATTTTTTTGTGTATGGGTGGTCCCGGGGATCGAACCCACTACCTTGGCGTTACAGGCGGCGTGCTCTACCAGCTGAGCTACAGAGGACCACATGCATAGTCACTTTAACTATACCTACACGTACATATTACCTCAATTACCTCGACTAACCGGTTTCCCCACACATTGACTCTGTACCGGTACCCCCTGTATATAGCCTCCCTACTGTTATTTTTACTGTTATTTTACTGCTTTTATTTTTTACTTATCTATTGTTTACTTAACACTTATTTTTCTTAACTACATTGTTTGTTAAGTAAGCATTTCACTGTAAGGTCTACACCTGTTGTATTCGGCGCATGTGACATAAAATGTGATTTGGTATTACTCGTAAGAAATTATGATCTTTGTCAGTCTTTTGAACAATGTATCCTGCTGAATTCCCTAGCTGCGGTAGTGCAGAGTAGAGGAGAAACAGCCGTACTAAAGACTGAGTCCTCTGAATGGTGGGAGTACTGAGCAATACTCTTCTCTTAACCTCCTCAATCTCACACACACCTACCTGTTAAATTAACGCTATGCTGGCACTTTGATCTCTGCTCCACTCTCCATTCTCTCCACCACCATGAATTAAAACATTTGGCTTACGTTTTGTCGCATACCATCTCTAAAGACATGTTTTATAGGCAAGACCCAGACTGCTCTTCAGAAGGAGTTTGTCACTATGTTAATGCAGGCCAGTAGAGCAACCACTAATTTCCCGTCTCTGTTCATGTCTCGCTATCGGTTGGCTGTTAAGTCAGAGTTCTCTGGATGCTTTGATGGTTCTGCTGCTCATCTCAACTGTCATTCTCCTCCGTACATCACAGAACAGCTACAGTTGTTGAAATATGGTGGATATACAGTATGGAGTGAGAATGTTTGGATATATGGAGTGAGAATGTTAGAATATGGTGGATATATGGAGTGAGAATGTTAGAATATGGTGGATATATGGAGTGAGAATGTTAGAATATGGTGGATATATGGAGTGAGAAGGCAAAATAATATGCATATTCTAACTGACTTCTGTCTCTTCCTCTCCAGGTCGCTATGGTTTCTCTCACCAGGGTGGAGACGGGTCTTTGCCCATGAATGGTATGGAAATGTTATATTTTGCCTCAATACTATAAAGTTTATAGCTTTGTTCAGCCATTCACAATACAGGTAGTCAATTGGATGCAAGTTGTTCATGGGGTGTACATTATGTTGTAACCCTGTGCTGTTAAGAGTTGTTATGAAGGTTTTTGTCTTGTTTTACATGCAGCTAGGAGCTATGGCAGAAGACGAGGTAAAGCCAAACCCCAAATGTCTTCATGTTTTAGCCTACATCATGTCATTATTTGCAAAGCGGCCATTACACAGTACATGCTGTCTGTCTGGTTTGGCCTCGCTGTGTCTGAAATGGCACCCAGGGGGAATAGGATGCCATTTCAGACGCAACTTATCTGTGTTTGACCCTTAAATGCTGCCTTTTCACGAGGCCCCGACTGAACCTGCCGAGGAAGACCTCTTAAGTCCCAGGGAGGATTTTAAATAAATAAATAAAAACATCAACATAAAATATATTAATTCAATCCAAATACTATAAAGCATTTGATAAGAACTTCCCTGTAGATTGTGTGGCATACTGCTCAGTGTTGAGTTACATACTTTAACCTGATAAAGTGTTGAAAATTGAGTTCCAGGTCGTCTTTATTGCAGTCGTGCTGACTGACCGTCTCACAAGATTGCTATATTAATAACGTTCAACACTTGTGTTTGTTGTGAGATCTGATCATCTGTGCAGCGCGACAGCAAAAAAGACGATCTGACATAATTGTCGGGTGCCTGTTACCTGCTGGGCTTTTATGACCTGGCTGTGGTGGCTTGTCACTAGACTTTAGCAAAACATCAAATGTTGCAAGCACTTGAGGAAATCATGACTGGTTTCATGATCATGGTTCTCGTTTGTCTTCATCACAATTAAAAATAGCTTCATTTGAGTTATTTTGATTCCAATTAATGTACCGCAATTTTATTGTAAGTGTATTTATTTGGGTACAATCTTTCCCTTTTTCCACGACTGAGTCAAACAGAGCTGAGCCAAGCTGGACTGAGCTGGCCTGGTTAAACCCAAGCTGTACTGAGCTGGCCTGGTTAAACATCCACAATAATTTTTGGAAAGGACAATGTGAAAATGAAATATCGGAGCCAGCACAGTATGGTTTTAAAATAAATATTATAACCACAAATAGGTGCTAAGTGGCATAAAGAAATCCAAGTCCAGGCACTCACATGGGTTTGAAAGTTAAAAAGCCTTTAATGTATGGGACGTTAAAATGCATCAATGCATATCGGCTTAAGTCTTCATCAGGGTGTCTGGGTTAGTACGGTTTGGGTTGGCATGATGGTGTGAAATAAGTATCTCATATCTACCGATCTATCTCTCTGCCCTCCAGGTCACTCTAACTTGTTCCCCATGGAGGACGAGCGGTCCTTTGGAGAGGACGAGTCAGGTGACCAGGGACTTCCTGATTTAGGCTCTGCTCACTGTTTCCCGCACCTAAACGGAGAGCGAGTGGAGAGATACTCACGCAAGGTGTTTGTTGGAGGACTGCCCCCCGATATAGACGAAGGTATTGATCAATGAACAGAATAATACACCTTCTACAATGTTGTTCTCGGGTTAAAAATAATGCTTTGAGAGTTGTCTGTTTTCTATGGTAATGGATCCCTGTCATCGGATGTCATAGAGGCTTAGAGGCTGTGTACTGCAACTACAGGCTCCTGAAGAGCCTTTGTAGCTGACTAGCTTTGACTCTTTCATTCTCAGATGAGATCACTGCCAGTTTCCGCCGGTTTGGTCACCTGTTTGTCGATTGGCCCCACAAGGCTGAGAGCAAGTCCTATTTCCCACCCAAAGGTGAGTCTGATATGGTCACAATGGCCAGGAAATACTCAGGGCCCTAGGAATGAAGGGAATACTCAGGGCCCTAGGAATGAAGGGAATACTCAGGGCCCTAGGAATGAAGGGAAATAGATGAAGGTCATGAGAGTATTGAGCGCGTTCTTTCCCCTCTCTAGGTTATGCATTCTTACTGTTCCAAGACGAGAGCTCTGTCCAGGCTCTGATCGATGCCTGTATCGAGGAGGATGGCAAGCTCTACCTCTGTGTCTCCAGCCCCACCATCAAGGACAAGCCTGTGAGTGGCAGTATTTAAAAATGTTTTTCACTGTAATTAAAGTTATTGGTGGGAGTTGTCTGTCCTCCTTGTCAATCTACCACTTCTGGTAAATAGTTGAGATCAGCCTAGTCCACTCAAATCAAATTTGATTTGCCACATGCGCCGAATACAACCTTACAGTGAAATGCTTACTTACAAGCCCTTAACCAACAATGCAGTTTTAAGAAAAATAAGTGTTAAGTAAAAAATAGTTCAGCCCTGTCCACTCACCTAGTTCAGCCCTGTCCAGACACCTACAGTAGTTCAGCCCAGCCCTGTCCACACACCGACAGTAGTTCAGCCCAGCCCTGTCCACACACCTACAGTAGTTCAGCCCAGCCCTGTCCACACACCTAGTTCAGCCCTGTCCAGACACCTACAGTAGTTCAGCCCAGCCCTGTCCAGACACCTACAGTAGTTCAGCCCAGCCCTGTCCAGACACCTACAGTAGTTCAGCCCAGCCCTGTCCAGACACCTACAGTAGTTCAGCCCAGCCCTGTCCAGACACCTACAGTAGTTCAGCCCAGCCCTGTCCAGACACCTACAGTAGTTCAGCCCAGCCCTGTCCAGACACCTACAGTAGTTCAGCCCAGCCCTGTCCAGACACCTACAGTAGTTCAGCCCAGCCCTGTCCACACACCTACAGTAGTTCAGCCCAGCCCTGTCCACACACCTAGTTCAGCCCTGTCCAGACACCTACAGTAGTTCAGCCCAGCCCTGTCCAGACACCTACAGTAGTTCAGCCCAGCCCTGTCCAGACACCTACAGTAGTTCAGCCCAGCCCTGTCCAGACACCTACAGTAGTTCAGCCCAGCCCTGTCCACACACCTAGTTCAGCCCAGCCCTGTCCACACACCTACAGTAGTTCAGCCCAGCCCTGTCCACACACCTAGTTCACATCTAGTTGTATGGACATTGAAAGAGAGTTTTACAAACTTTGTATGGAATTTGTTACAGACTTTTCTAGATGTTGTTTGAGAGTTATATGGGTGTTATCTGAACGTTGTCTGGCCATTCCTCTGTGTTCCTCTAGGTCCAGATCCGTCCCTGGAACCTGAACGACAGTGACTTTGTGATGGACGGCTCTCAGCCTCTGGACCCCAGGAAGACCATCTTCGTAGGGGGTGTGCCACGTCCTCTACGTGCAGGTACTGGACTGGGTTTCTGTGTGAGAGGAATGGGGGGGGGGGGGGAGAGAATGAGGAGGAGGGTGGAGTAGGGGAGAGAAGTGGGGGGAGGGAGAAGTGGGGAATGGGGGAGAGGAAGTGGGGAGTGGGGGAGAGGAAGTGAGGAGAGAGAGGAAGATGGGGGGGGGGGGGGAGAAGAAGTGGGGAATGGGGGAGAGGAAGTGGGGAATGGGGGGAGAGAAGGAGGAATGGGGGAGAGAAGGAGGAATGGGGGAAGGGAAGGAGAGAAGTGGGGGGAGAGGAGGACGGGGAGAGGATAGAGGAATGGTGTGAGAGAGGGCAAGACCTGAAGACCCTGAGCTACAGTAATGCCTAGGCTTTAGCTCAGCAGGCTAACACTGTCTGGTGTGACAGACCAAGTCGGCCACATCATAAGCCTAATATGTAATGTGTTAATGTTCCAGTGGAGCTGGCCATGATAATGGATCGTCTGTACGGAGGAGTGTGTTATGCTGGCATCGACACGGACCCCGAGCTGAAGTACCCTAAAGGAGCGGGTCGTGTGGCATTCTCCAATCAGCAGAGCTACATCGCTGCTATCAGCGCTCGATTCGTTCAGCTGCAGCACGGCGAGATCGACAAACGGGTGAGTCAGTCTGGTCTTTGGTAGTTTAGCGGAGCCACATACGCATTGCATTTTGTCCAGGAGAAGAAACAGAGAGATGCACACCATAGTCTGAGCTTCTCCCCTCTTTCTCTTTTGTCCCATTCAATCTGGGTATATGTTTAATCTCCCCTCCTCCCCCCTCTCCCCCAGGTGGAAGTGAAGCCATACGTGCTGGATGACCAGCTGTGTGATGAGTGCCAGGGGACGCGCTGTGGAGGGAAGTTTGCTCCCTTCTTCTGCGCTAACGTCACCTGTCTCCAGTACTACTGTGAGTACTGTTGGGCTGCCATCCACTCCCGGGCCGGACGAGAGTTCCACAAGCCACTGGTCAAGGAGGGGGGAGACCGGCCCCGACACATATCCTTCAGGTGGAATTAGGGAGGGAGGGGAGGGTGACGGGCTATGTTGTAGAAAATAAATGCACTTTTCTTTTTGCTGGATCCTATTTAGTTTGGAAAAGAAATCAACTTAAAAGCTTAATTTAATCTTTATTTTTTTAATCAGACTTTCTTCTAAGACAAATGCTAAGAAGAAGAAAAACAAAGTATAAGAAATCCCGTTTTGAATTTAAGTTATGGTGTGCATGAGTACTTGGATGCGTTATTAGATATGAGAAGAAATGTTTCTTCTGACTTGACTGTACTTTTTTTTTCTCACATTAGCTGGCGAAGCTGCTTACATTTGTTGTCAAGAGTAACATAACATTTGAGTGAGGTATGTGCTGCACCTCAATCAGTATATTAACTATAACAGTTGCGTTTTAGAAGGGTGCACTTATTTTGTTACTTTACGCATGCAGGATTAGATTAATAATTGTATCGTTAACCAAAGGTTGAGAGCAACTGGTCGGGTTAAAGTTCAATAGTCAAATAAAACCACTGCAGAAGGGCAAACAGACCGACAATTCCCTTCATCATAAATAAACTGTTCAGAGTACATACAGAATAAAAAAATTATCCCCTCGGTATCGGGCCTAGCAGCGATTTACTGGCATGTGTTTCTAGATCATGGTTTAAATTGACTCTTTGTAGCCAAAATGGGCAAACCAAAGATTGGCCTAAAGACAAGTGATCAATGCCAGTTGATTATCTGAGGGGTTTAAGGACTATAAGACTCAATTTTCAGGTTCAGGAGGTCAGGAAGGCTAGTGCTGTTTTAAGTTGTTGAATTGCAGAGAGGGGGGGAGGAAAAACAAGTCTTTGGAAAGACCGGTTTCAGCTGATAAAGACTACAGCCCTAGCTGTCTAGGCAGGGCTCAGGTATTGGCAGTAGTATTAGCTCACTTTATATTGTCAGGGATATTAGCATTGGACGCTAACATGATAATGTTGTAGTACTAGTAAGAATGCACAGTACAGTGGTAGCTAGCTGCAGTGTTCCCTGAGTGACTCATAGTATGCAGCCGGGTCCTGTCCTGTATGTGCTTTAGTGTTTAACCAACTCCTCTGGCTACCGTTGTCCAGCTAATTAACACAGAGAGGAGTTGGCTAAAGCACAGACAGACTGGACTACCAGGCTAGTCTCATGGTGATCTGACGCACTCTCTCTACCATGTCTGGAGTGTAGAGGAAGTAGATCCGAGCTGTGGCGAATGGATACGCTAGTGGATCCCAGCTGTGGAGGATGAATACATTAGTAGCTGGACACTCTTTGAAGAATTTGCTGTCACAGAGATAAAGATATTATTTTATACATGGCCTGCTGATTTTTGTACAGTGTTTTATAGCTGATTATTTTGTCATGAACATATATACATTTATTATGCACTACTTTTCTAAATATTTTTTTCAATAGTCATTTTAGGCACATTTTTCACAAGATGGGATAAGTCTTTTTGCAATACCTCATTTTTTTCACTTGGTGAAAAATAATTTTGTACCTTTGTTACTAAGAGATCTGCATTTATGGTAAAACTTCATTTAAAAAAGAAAAAATGAATGATATTAATATAATTTTCAATTTAGCTTTTTATATATTTAAGTGCTGGTAAATGTTAAATTGTCTGGTGTGATTGTGTAGAGAAAAGATAAACAGTTAGCCAATCATGTACAGTACCGATTTATCTTTCATAATAATAAACCATAAGTACTGGATCATAAGGAATGACAAGACCTTTCTAAACTTATTTTGATAGTCTTGAAAATTATAATCAGCTTGTAGTGGGTAAGGAAAATCTTGGGGAAATGTTTTGGCTTGGGTGGATTAGTGAACCCTTATTCCCTTGTATCATGAGAGTGAATGATGACAGGTGTTCTAAAAACTATTTAGATTCTCATTCTGGAACTACCTGAAGGTTCCAGAATGTTCCAGTTATTCTAGGCATGCATGACATAATACAGAATAACAACATGACTATTGACTAGTGTTAATGCAGGAAACTATTGTAATGCACTAGATCTCTCTTCTTTTTATTTTTGTATGAGTTTTTAGTTCTCTTCTCTTTCAGATCACCTAATATCTATCCTCTCTTTCTCACCTAAAGTCTGCCTCCCTCACAGGCAGGCAGGCAGACAGACAGACCTGCTGTACATGCAGGATACCACAGTGATAACACTTGTATGAGTTTAGCCATATAGATGACACTTCTTCCAAAAGAGACTTGATCACTCCACCCCTTTGATGTGGCATGCTTTGGGACATAGACTTGAATGTGATTAATGTTGCAAGTTAACTTCGAGCCATTATGTGCAATACTTCTTCTTTCCTAAAACAGTCTCTCTCTTTCTGCAATGTAAATTATTTAAACCCATATAAACCATGTAAACATTAAAACATGATTATTTTCTCAGTCTACTATTGTTCATGCTGGTGTCTGCAAAGTAACAAAAAAAAAAAAAATAGTAACTTTCTACTAATATATATAACTGGATTTATTTTTTAACATTCGTTTTGTGCTTATTCAATTATTTTGCTACTACCATGCTACTGTGATTGAGAAAACATTGTATATACTAAGTTGATAACGTATTTAGCATTTGTTATATTTTCAATTGAAATGAAAAACTATCATTTGGATCAGATTTTTATATTTTTTGGGGTGATGTGTTGAACTTGTTGATGTCTAGGTTTTCTAATTGCTGTACTGTGCGCCACATTTCCAGAGGAATAATGTCTGTTAGTATTACTTGATTGCGAAAAATGTCAATAGTTTTTAATGGTATGCTGGGAAGGTTGTATTTATTGATATACATTTTTTTACTTGATATCATCTTGATTTTTATTATGTCATTTCACATTTATAAGTTCCGATTTTTATATCCCCCCCCCCCCCCCCCCCCCCGTTATGTTATGTGGTAACAGACGTCAGTTTTTATAGTTGGTTTGTAGAACTGAAGTAAAAATCAAGATCTAATGTCATCTAATCATTTGCAGCCAACTATTTATAACTGTATGCATACAACATTTGAAGTATTTGTAATGTGAGATGTTGAAAGAATAAAACTCATCTGTGAGGAGACAAGTGGTTGAAGTCAATTTCTTGAAGAAAGCAAGGCATGTGTGTTGTTCGAATTGTACATGTATGTACTGAAAAAGGAAAACACGCACAGATTTTTTTTTCAGTACATTCCTTTTGAACCCTGCACCCAAATATGTATTATTACAAACTATTGAATCGAACACTCCAATCTCTCATTCTGTTGCTAAAAGTGGACACTTAACTCCACTCATGGATTTAAAACCATTTGGATTGGTATAAATATATTACATGAGTCCATTACTTTTTTAAATCCATGATGGGGAGTAAGTGCACACTTCATGGAGAATATTGTTCCTCCTCACAACACTCCACCCTTTTCTACATTGTTTTGTTCCTCTTTTTATTTGTGTGAAGTGTGTTAACTGCATTTGACTTGACTAGAAGGGTAGAGAATTGCACCACAACCGTTGAGTGCAGCTGTGTGTGACAGACAGCGGCAGTGGTTTCTCACAGATCTGGCCTGCTGAACCAGGTCAGACATGGCTATTTATAGACTCAGGCAGATCCAATCCTCCAGCCCGGACCTTTGTCTCCTGAAACCAACAACGACAGATACCTAGAGGTTTGAGAAGTGTATTTGATAGTGGTCTCAGCAGGCCGCTGCAGTATGTGCTATTGAATGTCTGCCAGAAAAAAGAAAGCACCGCCATCTCCTGGCGAAGAGAAACATTGTAATGCAGCATGGCAAATCTTTTATTTTCATCAATCCATTTGGCTGGCAGTGGCAAATTGTACTGCTCTTTTGGTCAGTGAGTGACAACACTAATGTTTACCAAATAAGTGATTAGCAGCTAAATCGAGAATTAAATAATTGTGCGTTTTTGCATCTTTTACTGGATCAACAGATTGATGTTTACAGACTGGGCACGTGCAGCTAATCCTAACTGGTCGAGGTAGGGTACGGGCTCGAGACGAGGGACTGTCCGTTTACTAGCCTAACTAGCCAGCAGCATTTTTCTAGAGATTTAGCTAGCTAACGTTAGCTTCGAGTTATTGTTGATAAACAGGCATAGAAATAAGATGCCAGGTGCTCAGTTCAAGGCAGTTTACGTGCCAAGTTTTGGATCTCAATCCTCACGATGTAGTCAAAAAGATGGACAGCAAACGAAAAAGTACTTGATCGAGTTGTCCTGCTCACAGAGAAGACACGATGCGTTGTCAACGAAAAATAAGATCAAATTAACCAAGTGTAAGCCTGCACTGTTCAAGAAGAAACGAAAGGAGGAGAGAAGGTCGATGCCTCCACGACGACCCATGATAGACAGATTGACAGCTGTCCGAAGTCAAGGTGGAGGAGAGCGATCACAACATCAGAAACGGGGAAGTCCTGATGTTGGGCAAAAATGTAGCTACACTAAAATAACGTTATCCAGAATATTGTCAGAATAATTAGTTATCTATCAGCAGATGTCATGTGGTGGTCAGGTTAACACATCTAGCAGCTAGCTAACTTTACGTTAGGTGCAATGTCAATGGTAGGCTACCCAACTCAACCCCAGGCCCTGTTAGAATTCTTTAAAAGTGCATGAATCCATCCTTACTTCCTGGAAGTATTCACTGATTAGAATGACTAGGCAAATTAATGCTATGTGTGTCTTTCAGTTCACCTGTCCAATCATGTCTAAACAGTGCTAATTTCAAGGAAGCTAGGAAGGAAGGATGCACTTTTAAATATTTAAACGGGGCCGCAGCCTCGTTCCTTCCTTGTTCCTCCATGTCCAATACAGGCACTGCTCAGAGCATGATGAGTGAAGACATCTTCACCTTCTACCAGAGAGACAAGCACACATCAACCAACCAAACCGTAAGTTTGATGCTGTATTCAAAAATATTTCTGATTTATTTGTACGGTTTGTGTCTGTTGCCTCCATTTCCTGGCAGTCTTTCAGCTGTTGAATTGTGTTGTACCTGTCACAGACCTACCTTTATTAAACAATTGTACTGTCTCTAACCTACCAAGTTTTTATATGACGTTGATATGGGCTTTGCCATAACTCGTGTTACTTCTCTCTCTCCTCCCCAGCAGTGGGCAGCCAGACAGGCTGTGTTGAGGACCATCGGTAGGATGCTGCAGGAGAACAGGAGCATCAGAGAGAGACTGGTCTCCCTCAGCCAGAGCAGTCAGGTTATAAATTAAACTCAGACCGAAGACTAGATTACAATCTGGGATTAATACATAGATTATGGAACAAATCTTTCCCTCTCAAACTCAGGAATGGAAACGTTTTCTTTGTTTTGCCCAAGTTTATGGACTACCTTTAAAATGTGCTAATTTGAGATGGAATGAAGATTAAGTTATTTATGTTACCTGTAACTTTACCTGTACTGTACATCTCCAGCAATCTGTTCCTTTAGTTTCCTCTTTAATAGACTGGTTGAAGAAATTGACTATAGGTTGGTTTTGATGGGGAACACACATATTTTGACTGTTGACACAGATTTTGCCTGTTGTCACAGATTTTGACTGTTGTCGTGGGGAAAGAAGAGTTCTGAATTAAAACCACGTCTTGAGGAGAAAGTGTTGTTAATTTCCGTTATGTCTGATGAGCTATAACAGGTCAGCCAACCCTCCTGGAGAGCTACTACTGGGTATGAAGGCTGTTGCTCCAGTCCTTCTTCCTCAAGGAGAACCTCTCCTCTTTTTCCACTACTGTCGGTTTGTGTGTGTGTGTGTAGGGACACACAATACTGTACACTCAGCCACCTAAAGGTTGAATACACAGGTCAGCCACAGCTCAACTTCCTCAGAGGTTCTCAGTAGAGCCTGGAAGTGTCCCAAATTACACTCTATAACCTTTATAGTGCACTACTTTTGAACAGAGCTTTTGTGTTTCTGTTTCCTGCTCCTTATTATCTCTATTTATTAGTGAATTAACAACCCCACAGCAACATGTGGTTCTGCTTATCCTAACAGTAAAATAATGGGAGGTGTAATATGCACAATTGATTATATAAATTGTTGAGCAGTTTCATAATGTTTAGAATTATAGGCAACATTAGCTGTAGTATTAACAGGCCAGTTGTGTTGCAACACACAACTGCAACACACATATTATTTTTCTAGAGTTTGGCCTACAGTACACATAACACACAGAAAAACAACCCCAAAAGGATCAGTTATATTTGATCAACTGACACAGTCATCTATCTAATCTAGAGTATTTAAAATAAGGTACAGTAAGTGTCTGGTAAGACATTAGACTACACCTCTCCCTTATTTCATAGGTCATTTTGTGGGACTCCCAATTACTTTCTCAGCAGGGAAATGTTAAGCAACCACATACCTCTGGTTATTACCACCTTCTGTGTTTCACCGCTTCATGTAATGATTCCCCATTACCTCCTAACTGTCTCTCCTCTACCTGTAATGATTCCCCATTACCTCCTAACTGTCTCTCCTCTACCTGTAATGATTCCCCATCACCTAACTGTCTCTCCTCTACCTGTAATGATTCCCCATAACCTCCTAACTGTCTCTCCTCTACCTGTAATGATTCCCCATTACCTCCTAACTGTCTCTCCTCTACCTGTAATGATTCCCCATTACCTCCTAACTGTCTCCTCTACCTGTAATGATTCCCCATTACCTCCGAACTGTCTCTCCTCTACCTGTAATGATTCCCCATCACCTAACTGTCTCTCCTCTACCTGTAATGATTCCCCATTACCTCCTAACTGTCTCTCCTCTACCTGTAATGATTCCCCATAACCTCCTAACTGTCTCTCCTCTACCTGTAATGATTCCCCATTACCTCCTAACTGTCTCTCCTCTACCTGTAATGATTCCCCATTACCTCCTAACTGTCTTTCCTCTACCTGTAATGATTCCCCATTACCTCCTAACTGTCTCTCCTCTACCTGTAATGATTCCCCATCACCTAACTGTCTCTCCTCTACCTGTAATGATTCCCCATTACCTCCTAACTGTCTCCTCTACCTGTAATGATTCCCCATTACCTCCTAACTGTCTCCTCTACCTGTAATGATTCCCCATTACCTCCTAACTGTCTCCTCTACCTGTAATGATTCCCCATCACCTAACTGTCTCTCCTCTACCTGTAATGATTCCCCATTACCTCCTAACTGTCTCTCCTCTACCTGTAATGATTCCCCATAACCTCCTAACTGTCTCTCCTCTACCTGTAATGATTCCCCATAACCTCCTAACTGTCTCTCCTCTACCTGTAATGATTCCCCATTACCTCCTAACTGTCTCTCATCTACCTGTAATGATTCCCCATTACCTCCTAACTGTCTCTCCTCTACCTGTAATGATTCCCCATTACCTCCTGTCTCTCCTCTACCTGTAATGATTCCCCATTACCTCCTAACTGTCTCTCCTCTACCTGTAATGATTCCCCATTACCTCCTAACTGTCTCTCCTCTACCTGTAATGATTCCCCATCACCTAACTGTCTCTCCTCTACCTGTAATGATTCCCCATTACCTCCTAACTGTCTCTCCTCTACCTGTAATGATTCCCCATCACCTAACTGTCTCTCCTCTACCTGTAACGATTCCCCATTACCTCCTAACTGTCTCTCCTCTACCTGTAATGATTCCCCATTACCTCCTAACTGTCTCTCCTCTACCTGTAATGATTCCCCATTACCTCCTAACTGTCTCCTCTACCTGTAATGATTCCCCATTACCTCCTAACTGGCTCCTCTACCTGTAATGATTCCCCATAACCTAACTGTCTCTCCTCTACCTGTAATGATTCCCCATTACCTCCTAACTGTCTCTCCTCTACCTGTAATGATTCCCCATAACCTCCTAACTGTCTCTCCTCTACCTGTAATGATTCCCCATAACCTCCTAACTGTCTCTCCTCTACCTGTAATGATTCCCCATTACCTCCTAACTGTCTCTCATCTACCTGTAATGATTCCCCAATCCCCATTACCTCCTAACTGTCTCTCCTCTACCTGTAATGATTCCCCATTACCTCATAACTGTCTCTCCTCTACCTGTAATGATTCCCCATTACCTCCTAACTGTCTCTCCTCTACCTGTAATGATTCCCCATAACCTCCTAACTGTCTCTCCTCTACCTGTATTGATTCCCCATTACCTCATAACTGTCTCTCCTCTACCTGTAATGATTCCCCATAACCTTCTAACTGTCTCTCCTCTACCTGTATTGATTCCCCATTACCTCATAACTGTCTCTCCTCTACCTGTAATGATTCCCCATTACCTCCTAACTGTCTCCTCTACCTGTAATGATTCCCCATTACCTCCGAACTGTCTCTCCTCTACCTGTAATGATTCCCCATTACCTCCTAACTGTCTCTCCTCTACCTGTAATGATTCCCCATCACCTAACTGTCTCTCCTCTACCTGTAATGATTCCCCATTACCTCCTAACTGTCTCTCCTCTACCTGTAACGATTCCCCATTACCTCCTAACTGTCTCTCCTCTACCTGTAATGATTCCCCATTACCTCCTAACTGTCTCCTCTACCTGTAATGATTCCCCATTACCTCCTAACTGTCTCCTCTACCTGTAATGATTCCCCATTACCTCCTAACTGGCTCCTCTACCTGTAATGATTCCCCATCACCTAACTGTCTCTCCTCTACCTGTAATGATTCCCCATTACCTCCTAACTGTCTCTCCTCTACCTGTAATGATTCCCCATAACCTCCTAACTGTCTCTCCTCTACCTGTAATGATTCCCCATAACCTCCTAACTGTCTCTCCTCTACCTGTAATGATTCCCCATTACCTCCTAGCTGTCTCTCATCTACCTGTAATGATTCCCCATTACCTCCTAACTGTCTCTCCTCTACCTGTAATGATTCCCCATTACCTCATAACTGTCTCTCCTCTACCTGTAATGATTCCCCATTACCTCCTAACTGTCTCTCCTCTACCTGTAATGATTCCCCATAACCTCCTAACTGTCTCTCCTCTACCTGTATTGATTCCCCATACTCTAACTGTCTCTCCTCTACCTGTAATGATTCCCCATTACCTCCTAACTGTCTCCTCTACCTGTAATGATTCCCCATTACCTCCGAACTGTCTCTCCTCTACCTGTAATGATTCCCCATCACCTAACTGTCTCTCCTCTACCTGTAATGATTCCCCATAACCTCCTAACTGTCTCTCCTCTACCTGTAATGATTCCCCATAACCTCCTAACTGTCTCTCCTCTACCTGTAATGATTCCCCATTACCTCCTAACTGTCTCTCATCTACCTGTAATGATTCCCCATTACCTCCTAACTGTCTCTCCTCTACCTGTAATGATTCCCCATTACTCCTAACTGTCTCTCCTCTACCTGTAATGATTCCCCATTACCTCCTAACTGTCTCTCCTCTACCTGTAATGATTCCCCATTACCTCCTAACTGTCTCTCCTCTACCTGTAATGATTCCCCATCACCTAACTGTCTCTCCTCTACCTGTAACGATTCCCCATTACCTCCTAACTGTCTCTCCTCTACCTGTAATGATTCCCCATTACCTCCTAACTGTCTCCTCTACCTGTAATGATTCCCCATTACCTCCTAACTGTCTCCTCTACCTGTAATGATTCCCCATTACCTCCTAACTGTCTCCTCTACCTGTAATGATTCCCCATCACCTAACTGTCTCTCCTCTACCTGTAATGATTCCCCATTACCTCCTAACTGTCTCTCCTCTACCTGTAATGATTCCCCATAACCTCCTAACTGTCTCTCCTCTACCTGTAATGATTCCCCATAACCTCCTAACTGTCTCCCTCTACCTGTAATGATTCCCCATTACCTCCTAACTGTCTCTCATCTACCTGTAATGATTCCCCATTACCTCCTAACTGTCTCTCCTCTACCTGTAATGATTCCCCATTACCTCCTAACTGTCTCTCCTCTACCTGTAATGATTCCCCATTACCTCCTAACTGTCTCTCCTCTACCTGTAATGATTCCCCATTACCTCCTAACTGTCTCTCCTCTACCTGTAATGATTCCCCATTACCTCCAACTGTCTCTCCTCTACCTGTAATGATTCCCCATTACCTCCTAACTGTCTCTCCTCTACCTGTAATGATTCCCCATACCTCATAACTGTCTCTCCTCTACCTGTAATGATTCCCCATAACCTCCTAACTGTCTCTCCTCTACCTGTAATGATTCCCCATAACC